AAGTTCGTCTTCGTCAAAGTTCCAGATGCTTAAACCTCCTTCGCCTCCCATGAGAGTGTGCCAAATACTACGGGCGTATAATTTGATAAGGGAAAGGTAGACCGGAAACGAAGCCTCTGCGTTGGTCTCCAAAGCTTGGTCATAGTGCCGTTTTGCAAGGTGGAAATCCTGGTGGTTCAGTAGATATCATGTATCTGCTCGATCAGGTCGGAATGTGCGCACCTGGGGAACACCAACTCCGTTTTCGTACATCCAGCCAAGATTCCACATAGCCAGGGCGCTCTGTTGCGTATCGGCAGCCGATTGGTAGTATTTCACCGCCTTTTCGAAACGAGTCGCCTCTGTATCGTCCCCAACACCCAAACCATGATAATAATAGTCCCCCACTTTCACCAGGGCGTCGATATTCCGTTGAGCCGCTGCACGCGTCCACTGCGTCAGCGCTAATCGGGCAGTTTCGTTCGAAGGAACAATGGGGGAAAAACGGGTCAACCTCAATATGCTCCTGTCTACGACAAGGTAATCTGTGTCAATAAATGCCATATCTAAGAGCGGGAAACTCACCTTGGTCTAAAACATGCGCCAAATTGTTCTGCGCAATTTCCGACCCTCTCTCCGCTGCTATCCACCATCTGAGCATTGCCATCTCTTTCCCTCGCTCTGTACCTGATGTCCAGGCAATTTCAGCATCCCTCAAAAGATCATCACCCCATACGCCTCGCTCAGACACAATTTTGTAGAACGAAACCGCCATCGCACAGTGACTGGAGGCGATGGCGGGAGGCATGCCAGGAGTATCCGCTTGCGCAGAGTAAATCTGGCCCCTGTAATAATAGGCTTCGAAGGGGGATCCAAATAGAACAGCAGTGTCAAACAATGCTGCCGCCAGTGGTATTTCTCCGCGTGCTAGAGTTACACGGTGAATACCACGGAATCTGCGAGGTAAAATGTGATTCACCAAAGTGATGCTTCGCTACGTTGACTTGCGCCTCCGCTAGCTCTTGACCAGCGGCAGCGGAGAAATATGCCATGGCCTTCTTCGAATCTGGCTTCAGAGATGGCACGAGGCCGTCCCGCCAAATTATACCTAATCCGTTCTGACACTCCCGATCACCCTGTTCACTACCTCTCTCAAACCACATTTTAGCCATGGCTGGATCAGCTTTGACACCTTCTCCTCGCAGATACATGCGGCCGAGGAAGCCGGCGCTGGACGCGGCGTATCCAACAGGAAGGTTGTGGTCTTCCTTGAGGGGGGTGGGCGTATACTGTAGGGGGTTGGCAGGGTCTCTGGGCCATACCAAACGGGCGATCAAGAGGAAATAGTGTCGCGCACGCTCGAAGTCCCGTGGAACAGCCCCGACGCCTTCGCTACCAGAACCAACACCACCCCTGGAGGAATATATGCTACCTTGATAGAATATCTTTCCTAAACGGTAAGCGAATTCAATCTCGCGTCGGTCGGCATTGAACTTGATAAAATTTCAAAATCAAAGAAATGCAGAAAACATACAAACTACTGACCAAGTAGTAGTCGAGGATGTCCTCCCAGGTCTCTCCTGACGCGCGCGACATGCCGGCTCGAATAGCAGCTTTGTGAACGTTGAGTCCCGTGGACGCAACGCTAGCTCCTGGGCCATAGACACCACCTGCGAGATCAGAAAGTCTTGTAGAAGTTTGCGGTAGTGTCCGGCCGCCGGGAGGGCCGGATACAAAGTTATCGATGGCTGAAGCACAAATTTGTAAATCGCGCAATGCGAAAGATTCAAGACTCACCTTGACCAGCAGCACGCTCATACCAGTCGAGTGCTCGATTGCAGTCATCAAGAGTACCAATGCCACTCCAATACCGGTACGCAAGAGCCATTTGGGAGCCTTTGTCACCACCGTTGGCCGCGAATGTATAATAGAGCTGTGCTCGTGCTTGATCGACGGGGGCAACTTTCTGGTAACCAGTGGCATGGAAGAAGGCAAGAAAACCTTGTGAGGTCGCATTTCCAGTGATCGCTGCATGGGTTGCAAAGGAATTGTAGGCAAGACGTGGATCGGAGGGGAAATATTGTGAGGGAGGAAACTGATACAGGAAGTCACAAAAGGCTGCAAAACACTTCTGGAATGAGAACACACCAATGATATCTGAGCCAGAGTGTAAAGCGCGTCCGAATTTCCCAGCTCAGCGGAGTGTTGTAACAAGTCGATTACCTTGACTGCTTTGCCTTTGGTTTCCTCACGCTTCGTCCGGGACTCCTTTCCTAGTACCGCCAGTATAGCATTGGTTATTTGACGCTGGAGCTTGAGCACTATACGCGTCACACTTCCCAACGGCCCTTGACCTTGGAGATTTGGGACGAATGAAGACAGCAAGGATCTGGAATTCTGAGAATTCGCAGTATAGAATGAAGATCCGTATGTGTGTAATGGAGAAGGAGCCGTTAGTGTTGATAAAGTATTCAAGGCTTGTTTGTAAGCTCGGGTGGCTATATAAATGTTAATTTGAGGACGAAATAACGAATAGGCAATACCTTCTGCGACTTGATCAAGGTCAGTGGTAGCCTGAACAGCAACCTCAGAAACTTGCAGCGGAGATGTGAATGATCCTGCTTACCGTTTTGCTTTCCGCGTTCACAGAATTGTCTGTCACAGACTCCGTCTAATAGGAAGTCAAACAAGGATACGGCCTAGCGGTGGAACAGAGATACATCTGGATCATTGGAAGTTTTCTGTGCTGACGCGACGACGGCAAGAGCAAAGCAAGTCCAGAAGAGCCATGAAGCCCAACAACTCTTGGGTTTCGACATTTTGGCAGTATGGGGTCAGATGGAATGACCTGATTCAATTCATGCGCGAAATACAGAAAAGGCAAGTTGAAGGCGGAAGAGCGAGAAATTGTACAGAGAGAGACAGACGGAGTCGCGTTGCAGTCGCGCGCGGACTCGAGACGCTTATGCCAAGTTACACGTAGCCCGAAACGCGGTCCGAATTCGGAGGTGTCCCCGAAAAATCTTCGGCTTTACCCGAACCAAAAACTCATGCTTGCTTCGAACGTCTTGCGCCCTTCTATCCACTGCTCACGCCTTCTCTATCGTTCGACACCATCGTATTGCGCAGAAAGACGCCTCAACACAGTAACCTCTTCGTCTCGACGGTTGCACTTGGTCCCATTACGGACTCTTCGTAAAATACGCATCGAAAGCATGGAATCAAAACCACTTTCATATTCAAACGGCCCAATGGTGTGGATAGACTGCGAGATGACGGGCTTAGACCCCGACAAGGACAAAATTTTAGAGATTGCAGTACGCTTGTCGTTCGATTACATAGTATGTATAGAGTTAACAATACTAGGTTCTCATAACAAACGGCAACCTCGATCTCGTTGATGATGGCATTGAGTTTATAATTCGCACGGATAAAGCTGCATTGGACGGGTATTCGATCCAATTTTCTTTCGCGTTTCTCCATCACTACACGAGTCGTTCAGGATGGATGAGTGGTGTACAAAGCAGCATGGACAAGTGCGCTAAATTCGATGGCCGTCCCATCGTACTTGTCTGATGCATGCTTCATCCAGTCTGGCCTCACCAAGGCATGTTTGGAGTCACCTCATTCACACGAGGACGTTTCCAAAGCTGTCCTCGACTACATCAAGAAGTGGATACCACAGAGGTATGATCCACACGAGCTGTTGGAAATATGTAGCCTCATAAGCCGCCAAACGACAGACGAGTAGGCGTATTAGCTGGTAATTCTGTGCACGCGGACCGCCAATTCCTCGTCAAGCACATGCCCGAAATAACTGAGTGGCTCCATTATCGGTCTTTGTCTTTCCTTGTCAAATGTGCATCAATTTAAATAATTCGACTGGCACTTCTGCAGCATCATCGGTGAGTGTCTTACCAGCTCAAGGATAGTGACTGCTTGCTCATTTGCAAGCATAGATGTTTCTTCCATCAAGGTATAGCAATATCCATGCTCTCAACGCAGACACTGACTCCGTCAAGGAATTATCACGTCGATGGTACCCTCATTTGGGCATCCCCAAGTTGGCAGAAAGCAATCATCGGTTCGTGATCATTGCTCGCGTTCGTTTACCTGGATTCATAATGCCAAACAGCGCGCTAGATGACATTCGAGGCTCAATAAAAGGTCTATCGACCGAACTTTCTTTGTCCCAATACTTATCTCGCTTCTAGAGCTTGAGTGGTATCGGCAGAACATCTTTATTCAGCCACCACCGAAAGAGTCTTGAAGCCGGGAGCCCCGCTCCCGGGGCTTTATCTCACTTTTTGGGTCAAATTCCAGGACGCCTTATAAAGGCGTTAGGGAGGGTTGGGAAAAAGAAAACGCCAAAAAATGTAATAGATTATTTACTCTTTTCCTGAGTTTTGTCGACCTATGTTGCCAGTAAGGCACAATTAGTCTACTAGTACTGTGCTTTCCAAATGAGGCACTTTCGCGCAAAACGTCTTCAGCCACTTCAAGTAGGGAACACGTCGAAGCACACTTAGATATGCTTACAGCATCCAGCTTTCTTCCGGATCTGGTGCCACTCGATTCCTTGAGAACGTTTCTTGATCCCAATAGATGAGCACACCACGAGGGACTGAGAGATTGCAATAGAGGAATGCAGCACAACATTGTGGCTTGTCTAAACTCTGGTGGGCTGCAATAAAATCTGACCAGCTCGCTTCGCAAAGGACGAGGTAGATAGCGGGTATGCAGGCGCGACGCCAGTGAACAACCGTTTGAACTCGATGAATCGATAAAGGGAGTTACGTCATTTATTTGGCCACTACGCCGAACAAACTATCGCAACCCTAATCGGGAGATTTTCAGTCAAACACCTTCTAGCAGGTTCTCCGTGTCTTCTACACGTCCCAAAATTGATCAGCAGCTGCGGCCATGTGTGTGTCATATGCCCCGATACCGATTCCTGCCATTCTCCGGTACTTTACTTACGTCCCGATGCCTATAAAACCCCAACAATTCTAGAGAGCGAAGGCAACATGGCCGAGTGGTCTAAGGCGCTGGAATTAGGTTATTTTCCTCATCCAGTCCGAAAGGGCGCGAGTTCGAACCTCGCTGTTGTCATGCGTGAATTGATGAAATCTTGTTTTTTTTTTAGCAAACTACCAATCGGAGATCTTTTTTGCTGTTAAACAGCAATTTTTTCTCAAAACGGTGCTCTTGTTGTGCAAACTGGGGAAAAAAACCATCAAGTCGAACAGACTTATGACCCCCCCTCATTACTAACAAATTATCAGCGAAAGGCAGGTCAGCGAGTCGACAACTGAAACCCAACATCAGAGAGAATCGCTGATTTATTCTCCAAATTCAAGTATGATGGACTTTGGAAGAACCGATTCTGACCACGGCTCATCGTAATTTGTCAACAGGATCTTGATTTTCAGGGTGTCATTTGATGAGCGTGCAGTCAATGTTCATATTATAATGCCGTGACACAAAAACTGTTCTGAGCGGCCCCCGTCTCGAGATAACAAGCCAACAAGTATGGATTGACAATTTACACGCAGGACAACCAAGTACAAGATCAAGTATGGTTGACCGTGACTGAAGAGGAACTTGTGGATACCGAGGTAAGAACCTGTCCATTCTGCTCCATGTTGATGATGACTGCGCCAGACGGCCCAACGGTGCTGCCAGAAGCTTCCGTTGCGACCGCATTCGTGAAAGTGACGGTGCCAAAGTTCGCAAACGGCACCATGGAGTTGCCTTCCTCAAAGTCCTCCACGATCCACTCTGCATTCTCTTGGCAGAGTCTCGCTGAGGAGGTGAGGGCCCTCGAGACGGTCTAGGGTAGTTGCGTTATTGAAAGATCACTTTGCGGAGTGAGTTTACATACCACTCCGGTGGAAAGGTTTTCAATCTTGACGGTACCTGAAGTGGTCGTTGAGACGGTCGCGGTCAATCGGATGGTGTTGCCAGCGGAGATCTATGGGTGAGCTCGTTCAGACATCGGATAGCACAGCAAAACGTTCTCCCATACAGGTATCCCCGAGAAGTCAGTCGCAGCGGCCGGGAAATATTCAAACCAGGCTGTTGATTGTTCAAAACATGAAATCCGCCCCTCGAAAGACATACCATCGAATGAAACTCGGCCGCCGGAGACTGTAAAGTCGATACCAGTTTGCAAGATTGCACTTCCACATGTGTCGCCATCGATGCCGACCCAGGCGGATGCCGCAAACGTGCCCGACCCACCGCTTGGGGCTCTCGGAGTGGGAACTACGAAGGTCCCTGTGACTGACTTGAAAGTTCCCTACAGACAAACAAGATGAGTGAGGATGAAATGCCAACAAGGAGAAGTGCTGACGGCGGGGGACTCGAAGGCTGCGCCGGCCCAGTTTGAGCTAAATTCGGCGTGGGTGACGTTGGTCGTCAAGCTTGCGGGGCCGTTCGAGGGAATCTTGGGGGACGACGTGTGAACTCCTGCTGCGCGGCGGGCGAGACGGTCACCGAGACGGGCATTGGGACGCGCAAGAGCGACGGTGGCGAAGAGGGCGTAGGTGAGCAGCTTGGCGAACATGGTGCAGGGAAGGAACCGAAATAGGAGCCTGAGGGAATCGGTCGGTGCTTTCGCACTTTTATGGTGGATACATGAATGTCGTCAGGTGGTCATGCAGCAACAGTCTTATCAGAACGAGGAGGAGAAGAGAGATAAATATACACAGAGATTGGCTCCGGTCTTGCTGTTTCGGAGTTGAGCTGAGGATAGACAGACCAGGGTTATAGAATCTGAGCCCCGACTTGCATCGTTGTTGCCGCACAACCAAAAGAGTCAAATTGAGGGCCGTAGACTGGCGTTGAGTGCAGTAAAAGTCTTGAGAATCGCAGCTTTGCAGGTTATGAACAGAGACCTATTTTGAGGATTCACCATAAATACACCCACACCCATGTGGATGAAGAAAGTTGCACGTAGGTCGCTGGGAACAGAGAGACAGAATTGCGGTATCGAACCGCGAGGTCGTCATTCTGGACGTAGTAGAGTATATCGAGGTGTCCTGTCCAGTCTCACAGAGATGGACTCTGACAAGCGCGATGTTACCTCTGACCAACCCGGCGGCTCCGATTGTGAGGGAAATTTTTTCTAAACAAGCGAGCATTCCGGAAGCCAAAGGATTCGGCACTTCTCAGGATCTTTGCACACTGAGGCCACTGTAAGTGATTGGGGCGATACCTTTGGAGGCGCGCATGCACCAAAATGCTATTTTCGCCAAAGAGTATGAAAGTCTTCATTCCATGGAGCGTCGGGCAAATTCTTCTGGGTGTAACGTACAGTAGAGCGGTCGCGAACGAGAGTAGCGGTGGCGGTGCGGCACACGCCAACACGTGCCTCTGAGTACGCGTTGTTGTTGGTTGTTTACGGCCTGCCAAACTTCAACCACGACAACGCCGATGAGCTCACCGCGCCAGGCAGCGTCGCCGCTGCGGGACAGGCTCCTCTCAAATTCTCCAGATCCATTCAAGACAAATATCCTCCGCGAATCTGCCATCGCCTGGAACGCCAACAGCGCCAATGGCAGAGCCAGTCCCAACATCTCTCCTCTGCGTATATCTAAACGCGAGTCTCCCCTCAGGCCTCCCCCTCCCGACATCGCTCGTCGCAACTCTTCCAGCTTCAAGCATGTTAGGAACAATAATCTCGTCACAAAGTCCCCCTTCAAATCCCAGATCCCCACTCCTGCCACCCCATCTACCCGCCAGTTCCCCGTTTCCACCCGCCAGGTCTCAGGGGAGAAGCGTCCGCGACCCCAGAGTATGCATGATCAGGCAGAGGCGGAAAACGACCGTCCTCTCGCATTGAAGCGGGAGCGCCGTCAGTCCAAGACTTTCCAAGGTCTGCTGCAGAGAGAGGTCGTCACAAAGAGCCCCTTCCGCCAACAGGAGGACCCTCAATCTCCCGTGGAGCTTCCCCCATTACCACCTATTCCTCCGACCCCCTCACGTATTCCTGTCCCGTCCACGGGCCCGTCACCTGGCCGTTCGTCACTCGTCTCGAAGCGCATGCATGGGCCGCGTCTCAGCGGTCGTCGCGAGCGCAGGAAAACTGTCACATTCGTTGAACGCGCCGAGGTTCTTGAGTTCAGCGATAACGACAAGTACCCTTCGGACGACAGTGTTGACAACTATGGCGAGGATCCAGATACGACTCCCGACGATGACGATCCGTTCTTCGCCCCGCCAGTTCAGGGAGAGTCGTCTGCACCTTCAGAGTCGTCGTACGAGAGCATTGACTTGTCCGAGCTCAACGGCTCGCTTCTTCCGGACACGCCAATGCCGCTCGCACTTGAACTGGATCCTGATGCAAGCATCACAGGCATTGTCGACGCAATGTTTGGTCCGGCTTCGGGGACAAGTACCCCGCCGCCGTCATCGCACCTTGGTTCATCTCACACACGTACCTTCGAGTTACCTCCGTCTCCCTTCGAGCGTGGCGAAGACAACGACCATGCAACAGACCTTGATACAGAGGACGGTGTACCGTTTGGGCGTTCACATCATGCAGCCCGTGCTGCTGCCTTCCATGACCATGCTACTCACCCACCTTCAGTCCCATCCCCCCATCTTAACAGCGCTGACAGGCCCTCTCGGCCCCTTCCCCGCCCAGATCTCGCGGCGGGAAACGCAACGCCCCCGCGACCGCGCACTGTAGATTACGATGACTACTCTCCTCCGCTCGGTCGCACAACACACTTTGAACGGCGGCTAGCTGCTCACGAGGAATACGAAGAAACCGAAGACGCTGTGGATGTGGCGCGCCTTCCCGGCTCTCCCTCGCCTGCGCCGACACGGCATACTCAGTCTGATCTGGTCGAAATTGGCGTGACAAGGTTTTCGTTGCCAAGTGGTAAGTCGATGCATTGTTGAGTTTCATATCTTCTTCAACACTTTGCAGGTGGAGGGTCGAATGCTGAAGATCCGTTCGCGCTTCCGAATTTAAAGGACGAACCGCTCCCGGAGCTAGGGGAGGACAGTAGAGATGAGAGTATGAGGATACAGGAGGACGTAAGTGGTTTGGACGACATTCTGTACTTATGTGCGTTGTATACTGACTAGACTTCTCTAGGTTGACGCTCTCGATAATGAAGAAAATCAACCGAGCCCGATACATGGTAGTGGTGGCGGAGGAAGGCAACGCATCAGTAGGGAAGAGGTTGCGAGACGCTTGCGTGCACGGAGTGCGAGTCCCGAGCTGGAGGCGGAGGCACCACAGCCAACGGAGGACTCGATGGACGAGAACCATGCGGACTACGAGAGTGCAAGCGAGGGGCAAAGTCGAGAAGACATGACACAGGATGAAGACGAGTTTAGGGAGGAGCGGGAGGAAGAGGCGCGCTTTGAACAACGGGAACGGCTCATTCAGCTGGAACGGGAGCGCGAGAGGCAACGAAGCTCAAGTGCCAGCATCAACGCCAGCATCAACACTAGCATCACCAATCTGGAAATTGGGATTGTGGAAGTGGCGGAACGCGTCACAATCTCGACGCCCATCACACCCATCGATGAGCATGCTCCCACCTCGGACGCGGAACTTGGCCTGCGCGCGCCGGACCTCGGGCTGGACTTTGGGAGTAAGTTTGGGCTCCGGGGTCTTGGGATTCCAGGGCTCGACGGAAGCATAGGCTCGCGCGCGAGTGCGTTCAGTGGATTGAGCACTGGGGCAGCAGAGAGGCGCGAGTTTGAACGCGTTGAGGTGGACATGGAGATGCGCAGTGCGCTAGACCAGTTGATAGACGACGTCGGAGGCACGCAGGTGGGTGTGGGAGATGACTCTATGCGCACTGAGGATGCGGAGAACTCATTGCGCAGCGAGGAGGTGGCGCAGACACGGGCGCCTGTACGGGCTGCGACGGATTCTGCGTTGCTTATGATGAATCAAGTTGGCGCGGGGCTGAGCCGCCAGGTTAGCGTCGCCTCTTCATCGTCACTCCTCAGCCTCCCACCTCCCCCTGTCCCCCCGAAAGACAATATCCGCTCGAGGGAGCAGCTGATTCTTGAGAAGAGGCGGGAGATGCGGCGCTTCGAGGAGGAAGGAAATGACTACGTACCGCCTCCTCAGCAGAACAGCT